GTAACACCCTCCCGAGCCTGCGGAGAGGAGCTGGTCTCTCTCCATCCATCAGCCAGCTTCCTTGCGCCTCAAGTAAAATAACCTTCCAGCCCTCTCCCTGCTGGCGGCCAGCTTCCCCAGCAGGCAGGGTGCCGGGACCCCCCAGCAGTGGCCGAGCCAGGAACACGCTGCGTTGGTGGCCCTCATCGTCCCGTCCTTGCTTCGTCAGGCCCCGCTCGTTCCCTCACCATGCGTAATCGAATGCATTAACGCGGTTTCCTTTTTTTTTTACGTTCCTGTCCCAGCTTTCTTTAGAATAAATGGGATGGGAGCCCACCTCATGCTCAGCGCCCAGGAGCCATTCAGATTTTGCATTTCAAAGTCGGAGCTAACGACAGCAAGGTGCCTGCCTTCCTCGCCCCCTGGCTGAGATAAAAGACTGTTAGCACAGCCCGCTCCTTCATCTTGGCTGACTTTTCATCTTAAATTAATTTTTCTTCACCAACTCGAGAGAGACGGAGAAAGCCCTTAACATAAAGCGAGCCCCCCGAACGGCAGATAATCTGAATGAAGCCTGCGGAACGCCGTGGGCTCCCCGAGACGCGTCTGCGTCCGCCCTGCGGAGTGACTGACACTGAGTCCCCCGTGAGCGAATCTGCACGAGGCCGGGACGCAGCGTTTTCTCCGGAGAAGCCAATGCGTCTCCCCAAAGAGGGGGCGTTCTGAGCGACCGGACATCACACAGGCCCAGGAATGGCCGCGCGCTCCACCCTGTCCAGGGTCCCGTCTGCCGTCGGTGAAGTCCACCCACACACTCGTCTGCGTCGCTGCGGGGCCTCCAGTGCCAGCCCCGAGGAAGACAGACGGGCTACACCAGATGGCGGTTGGCGGCCTTGCCCCAGGCGGCCCCCCATTAGCTACTCATCTCAGCAAGTAGCTTTCTGCTTCCTGCTCCGTCTCCCCCACTGTCCGCTGCTCTTCATAAACTGGGAAACGCCTGCCATTTGGGCTGGATGTAGATGTGACTATGACCCAGGTCCCGCCTCTCAGCGCTCTGGGACTCAGCGACTGCACAGGTTCTAGAATGGGCCGCCTACTCCCTGGCACCGGGGATCTGAGACGTTTGCCGCCGAGCTATGCTGTATGGCACAGCTGACCCTAGGACAAGGGGACCTGCCTGGGGGAGCCTGACGCTGTCGCACGGGCCTCTGAAAGCAGGAGGACTTCTCTGGCTGTGGCAGGGGGCAGTCAGAGGGTTAAGGCATCGGAAGGGCTGCCCACGCCGGTTCTGAAGATGACGGGGCTGTGGCAAGTGACAGGGAACGCGGTGGCCTCAGGACGCTGAGAGGGGGTGCTGGCCAGCGGCTGGCACAGGAGCAGACATGGCAGGCGTGTGACCAGAAGGAGACGATTCCGCCGATGAAACGCGGGTGTGGAGCGTCCGCGAAAGGGCCCGGCCGGCCGACTCCACCGTGAGTGCGGAGCCCGGCGGAGTCCCCGGGCCGCCGACCTGCAGAACCGGGAGCTCGCAGGTGGCTGCTCTTTCAAGCTGCTAGGTTTGTGACGCAGCAGGACAGCGCGGACACAGCATGTGCGCTGGGCACGTCGTCAGCCTGCGTTGCCTCAGACCCCACTGCTCGGACGAGGTGGCCCGTGTTGCCCCAAATCTGCGTGGCTAAGATGACACCTTTGCCTGTGCTGCCTCGGCCCCGGTCTGGAGCGTGGGCCTGCGCCCCCCCCTCCGCCTGCCTCCCCCCTGCTGCATCCAGCACAGCGACCACCCCGCCCCTCCCCGCCCCGCAGCTGGGCTCCCACCTGCTTGGGCGTCCGTAGCAGGTCCTGCGCCGTGGCTACAGCTGTGACGGCCTTGCTGTTCTCCACGCCGGGGTGGAGGGTGACAGACAGCCCGGCCACCAGCTGGATGGCCAAGTCTGTCACCGACACTTTGTCATCTAACACGGTTACTGTCTTCTCTGCCAGGATGGAGTCAGACAGTGGGGACAGTACCTGTGGGATCAGCAGGACACAAGGCAAATCCGTCACCCCTGTTTGCGTGGGCGGAAGCTTCCCCGGCCTTCCTCCCTTCCCCCCAAAGACGTGGGAGCTGCAGACTACAGGGTGACGGACTCATGTGCCGCCTCCACCACGCACGCCGGCCCGGACGGCGCCTTCGCGAGAATCGCACGAAGCCCTTGGTTCTCTCGGAAAAGTGAAATCGACACTTAAGTCCATTCTGCTCGTAACAGGGAACGACCCTTCCACTGAGATGAGGCGCCCCGCACCCCGCACCCCGCACGAGCCGGTTAGCCGTACGCATGACGCTGCTGGCCGGAGCCAGGAAACAGGCCTGGCGCAGCCGGGACCGCCTTCCACGTGGACCGTGGAATTAACCGGGAGGACGGGATTACAAACGGCCCACGCTCCGTCCACACCCAGACCAGCGGACCCTCTGCTCAGCTCATCGGCCCGGTGTGGGACCCGCGATACCCAGGTGAAGCGATCGAAACGCACCGGGCATTTCCACACATGGCGGTCACGCGGGATCCGGAACGACATTCCGGAAGGGGGGGTCAGAAGGGTGAGGACTGAGGGCTTGAGGCAAAGGCCCTCCGTGCCTCCGTTATCTGCCCCAAACCCCATCGTCCTGTGCTTTTCCTCGAGCAGAAGAGACAGTAGGGTCCTGAAGAGTTTGTCGAGTGAATAAATGGCAGGATGACGAGAGGACGTGGTAAGGGATGCGTCTTCCCTCGGCCACGGGAGGAGCGGGGCCCGGGGCGGGGGGACGTTGACATCTAAGAGCGTGAGGGAGAGTGGGTCCTGGGTGGGGAGGTGCAGAGGCAGGATGGGGAGAGCCGGGGGGCGGTGGGAATGGGGGACGCAGCGGTCGAGAGAGGAGCTGTATGGACGCCTTCTGCATTCTGCTTGGAAGGACATTCGGACTCAAACGCTGGTCCGGGCTCACCTTCCGGTGTCCCCAGGATGCTATCGTGGGGACAAGGAGTCGGCCACCATGACCCGCCCATCTCGCAAGCCTCCCCCAGTTCCCGCCAAGCCCGGGAACCCCCACGCTCCGCTCCCTACCTGGACGGTGGTCATGCCAACCTCCCGCCCGACCAGGACCCTGCTGTCCTGGAGCGTGGCGACGTGCGGCTTCTCCAGCTTCAGGAAGTCGGCCACCAGGTGGGTGACGTCCACCTGCCAGTCGGGACTGAGCAGGTGGCTCGGCTGTCCCCAGGGGCCGGCGCCCTCGGCCACGAACTGGGTGAGCACGCGCACGGCGGCGTGCTGGTACTGCAGGGCGCAGCCGCGTCCCCGCCGCTCCTCATCGTCCTCGTCTTCGCTGTCCCGCGTGGGCCTGCGGGCAGGGAGTGGACGCGGTCAGGCCCAGGGCAGGTGACCGCAGAGGCTCTCGCGTCACCTGCCACCTCAACCTCCGAGACACAGCGCTCCAGGCAGGAGCCACAGGAGCACGAGCTTTCGACGTCTCCCTGAAGACACTTATTGACACGTAGAGACTTAGAGCTCACACTGACTCAGCCTACCCTGTCCCTAACAGCAGCACGTGGCCATTTACAATCTAAATGAATAAAAATGAAATACGTTAAGACATTAAGTTTCTCGGTCACACACTGGATTCCGAATGTTCCATGTGGCTGTCGTATTGGACGCCACGGTTCTAGAATATTCCACCACCGTAGAAAGTTCTATCGGGCAGTTCCTTTGTATTAATGTGCCATTAAAAGCTCCACACGAATGAGCTTGTTTCCATCCTATAACACTATGAGGCAAAACTGTCATTATTCCATGTTCCAGGCAAGGAAACCTAGGCTCCGACGGGGCGTGGCTTCCCCACGCTCACAGAGCTGGCAAGCGGCAGAGCTTGGACTCGAACTCGGCAAGGCTCCGTTGTACCCTGCTTAGGAACATGGGACAAACCCGATCTCCCGGCCACTCGTGACCACCGAGCGGTCTGAAGTACTGGCTGGGCTCACGGCGGCCCTCTCTGAGTGAGGACGAGCTCCTCCGTGTAGAACTGGGTCCGACACCCCACAGTCCCAGTTCTTCTCCTTGAGATCTAGCTTGGCCCTTAAGAGGAAGACCCTGGCGCCTGGCAGACTGTCCGGAAAACGGCGCAGGTGGCTTAGGACGGAGGACTCCAGGCAGGAGGTCAGGGACTCGGCGACAGCTCCTACGTGGCTTTCGAGGGGCTGCGGAGCTGGGCGAATAAGACCCCAAACTCCTACACGTGACAGTCTAGAGTCACGAAAAATAAGTCAGAGTTATTTTTTGTTTGTTTAAGAGTAAACGGTAACCCATGTCCCAGGATAAATGCAATTAAACTTTATGATTTGCTGTGCACAGAGCTTTTCAAACTTACAGCTATGCATAAAGCATGGGGAAAAGAATCACTGTTTCGCTTATAGAAAATAAACCAGAAGTCAAATCCCCTGGGGGCTCAGGGGTGAGAAAAATGGAAAGCTCCCGCCACTCCCCTCTGGGGGAGTCACGTTCAGGGGACAGTCGGCTGGAACCCCGAGCGCGGGATGCGAGCGGCCTGGGTCTGACGCTGCCTCAACCGTGAGCAGCTTCCTGCCTGGCTGGGCCGTCCCGGCCTCGCTGTCCTGCTAGGGTGTAGGAAATGCAGCTGCTGTGATAACAGCAGCACCTACTATGTGCCGGTCTCTGCACGTTCCTTTCGAGTGATGACGGATATACGAAACCTTTGTTAGCATGCTCTGGTGCCTCTCCCAGCGGGCTCACCTCTTACTGGCCACGATGGGGACCCTCCAGCCTTTGATCTGGCTCAGTTCTGTGTCAGAGACCTCTATCTGCAGAGGCAGCCGGGGCACCCACACAGTGACGTGCAGGGGGGCGCTCAGGTACTGGTACGTGAAGTTCACCACCGCATCCACCTTGCCTTTCATCTCCTTGCCATTGACAAAGATGTAGTCACAGTGGTCAGACACCTGCAGCGACAGAGATGGGACGGAGGACAAGGTCATGGGGATGCAGAGACCTCCCTTCCTGCACTTGGTTTTTTCTCTTGCGAAGCACACGTGTTTAATTTAGGCTCCTCCCAATGCAGAGCCTGAGACAAGGGTTCGGTGCAATTGGTTTACTTGGGAGGGGAGCCTGGAGAGCCAGGGCCAGGGAGCAGGATGAGGGAGGCAGAGAAAGAGGAAAAGCCAATGGAAAGGTGCATTTTCGCATTTGCTGCTGTGGCTATTGGGCTGTCTCCTCAAGGATTCATGAAAAAACTACACAGCCATCCATGGGGGGAGAGCTGCCCTGTGGGTTAACTCCCCTGCACCTCCAGGCTGAGACACAGACCCCAGGCATCTGAGAAGGCCCTGGGATGGAAAGCAGAAAGCAGCTCGAGGTGGGAATCGGTACAATCACAAAGTGAACTTGAAGCCGCACAGGACTGCGCCTGGGATTGAATGACATGGGCACATTCCCCAGGCTTATGTCCACATCTGACCCCATCCAGCCTCCCAGGGTCCGAAGGGCTGTCCTGCCTTCCTTGCCATCAGGGCCCCACTGTTCCTCCCCTCTCTCCTCCAAGCACACGGCCCCGATGGTTCCGCAGGACGCCCAGGCCTTCACTCATGTAGTTCCCTCTGCCTGGGAGCACCTTATCTGGCTAGCCTGGCCGGGCACCTCCCCTGACATCTGGAATTATTTGCATAATTGTGTTATAGTTGTTCATCCGTGGAGGGCGGCATCGAATTAGTGCCAGCGGCCTATGCTCCCTTCCTCTGTATTCTTCCCCTCCCTTTCCCCGTTTCTAGCGGAACTTTGCAGGCAGAGCACAAAGCAAAACAAACATACAGAGAAGGAAAATAAAAAGTCTGCGAGCATTCAGAGTTTGTGTTCCAAAGACTCAGCCCTTAAGGACATAATCCAATTATAGCTCCAAGGACATCCCCACGTGGCAGAACAGCAGAGGGACGACACCAGGGTTCCGTGCAGTGGGCAACGTGGACGGGGTGGGACTGTATCAGAGGTCGCCCTGTGGACTCTGACTGAAAACGGTGCCCCCAGGAACTACGCACGGAAGCCCCGAAGACTAGAAGCCCTTCCTCTCGACCTTGGCAATAGTTCGGTCTCCTGGAAATTAGACTGAGGTTATGCTCTGCCCGCTTCAAGTCAAGCGGGGTCGTAGAGAAACAGCGCGATCTGTCTTGCGTGCTAAGCTCACGGGCTGTGATTTACACGGGCCCCATGCGCTCACATCTGCCGCTGAACTGTGAAATCCTGGAGGGCGAGAAGTGCATCTGGTTCATCTTCGATCTCTTCCTTCCTCACACCAGCTGCTCATGAAGCCGGAGCTCAGCAAAGCGGATACTGAATGGATGGACGGATGGACGGATGGACGGACGGATGGAAGGACAGACGGATGGATGGACAGATGGATGGATGGATGGATGGATGGACGGACGGATGGGTGGACGGACGGATGGACGGATGGACGGATGGACGGATCGATGGATGGATGGTTAGATGAATAAATGGATGAATAGCTGGACGGATGGACAGATGGATGGATGAGTGGATGGAGGGATGGAGGGATGGATGGATGGATGGATGGATGGATGGATGGACGGATGGACGGACGGATGGATGGATGGATGATGGACAGCTGGACGGATGGTAGCCTTTCTTCATGGGGATTCCTTCTTCAAGACAACCAAACAAGAATCTTGGGGTGAGGGGCGATGAGGTGAGAGCCTGAGCTAAGATGGAGCTGAGAGCAGTGGAAACACAAGTTAATTTGAAAACTAGAAAGCACTCGAGCAGCGTCTCAGCCTTTCTGGGGTCGCTGACTCCTTAGAGCATATACGTAAAGCTAGTTCTTACGGTAGAAAAGCAGGCACACGAAGGCTTATGTAACGTTTCAGAGGTCGAGAAGGCCCTCGGGGACTCTTCACAGAGCGCTTTCCACACCGAGAACAAGCTGCCAGCTCGCTGACCTGCCTCCCGTCCGAACGTCCTGTCTGTGGATCCGATAAAATAACATCCGATGGGAGCAACGAACTCCTCTGATCACCCTCTCGGGCGCCGGCTTCCGGAAACGATGGATGGCCGCTTGGGCCCGATTTTCAGCCTCAGCTCGCACCCCTGTTCGGAGGCGCACTGGGAGGGCCGGGCTGGATGGGACAGCGGCAGGGAGCGGCGGGGAGGGGAACACATGGGCGGGGCTTCTCGCTCACGGTCAGGAGCGGTTTAGGATGTTTACATGCTGGTTAGGGGTGGAAGCCAATCGGAGCCGCCGACCCAGCCTTCTCATTAGCATGGAAACGTGGTCCTCGTCTGCGCAGGCGAGAGCCTAACAGGGAGGCGTGCGCTGTATCAGTAATCACTTCTTTAATCAATGTTGTCATTTACAGGCCATTGACTTCCCTCATTTATTACCTTTCTGAGCTCTGGCGAGGGGGAACCTGGCCGCTCCAGAACCTATAAATAATTCAGAGGAACGCCAAGGGTGTGGAGTCGCAGCACAGGACGGGGCCGTGGTCGCCGCTGTGCCCGAAGCTGCCGCAGGCCCCGGGAAGTCTCAGGAAGCATCCTCATCTCCTGAGTGGCTGAAGCAGAAACTACGGTGTCACGGGACGAGCTGGCTCGTCTGCACAGAGGGAGGCCCGAAGCCCTTCCGGTGGCCCAGCTTGATTTCTGGACGTCTTTCTCCCCTTCCGTCGTGGGCGGGGCGCCCACTGAGATAACCGGCCCCGACTCTGCTCACTCGGAGAGTTAAGCCACGCGGGCTGAACGCGCGGTGACCACTGACCTCGCCAGTCTGCTCCGAAGAACCTGCAGGGCTGGGGCGGGTCATGGATTCTGGTTGAGCGGCATGCTGGGCATCAGATGACATCTTCTGTGGTCACTCGGGCCTTGGGCACTTCCCGGGGACGTCCAACCTGCCTTCCGGAGGAGACTCTGAGGAATCACCTTCCACGGGGAAAGCAAAGGCATCTGCTGGTCACCACAGGCTCTCACAGCTGAGTGCACTTCAGGGAGGGCCGGTCAGTGTGGCCTCCTGGGCCATCCCTAGAATCTCTGACAACGCAGATCTCAGTGCGGCCGCCACGTTTGCATCTCTAACAGGGCCCCAGGTGAGGCTGATGCCCCACAGCTGGAACTCGCCCCTCGAAACACTGCATTTGCCCCTCTGTGTTCTGTTTCCACGGCGTCGTATACATCCTGTGTCTGTAACAGGCGGCCAGACTAGGGTGGGGGACTGTGCAGCAGACATTCATTTCCCGCAGCTCCGGAGGCCAGAAGTCCCAGAAGAAGGTGCCAGCACATCCGGTGTCTGGTGAGGACCTGCTTCCCGGTCCACGGATGACACCTTCTGCTGTGCCCTGACGTCCCAGGAGGGGAGGGAGCTCTGGGGTCCCTTTCACAAGGGCACGAATCCCAATCGTGAGGGCTCCACCCTCCCGACCCCAGCAGCTCTCCAAAGCCTCATTTCCTATCCCCATGACCTTAGGGGTTAGGATCTCGACAGAGGAGTCTGGGGCGGGGTGCACAAACACCCCATCCATAACAGATGCCTTTCCTCCTTGTGGCCTTTCATTATGATGCTTTAAACCCCACCTCTGTGCTGCGGACTCCCCTGTGCCCCCCGCAGGCACCCCGCTCATTCGGCACCTCCACTCGGCATCACACACTTACATGGTCGGAATTCGAAGCCCTGCTCTAGCGGTTTTCTGCTTGTTTTGTTTTTCCACTTAGGAGAGTGGACGCTGGAAGTAGAAATTAATTCAGAGACAGAGGAATCAGATTTACATTTCTTCTATCCCAGCTGTGACCCTAAAACAGCGGTTCCCAATCTTTGTGGCACCAGGGACCGGGGTTCCTATGGGCATCTAAGGCCCGAGGATCCAGGCGGAGCCGCGGCCCGGACGCAGGTGCTGGGAGCGGCTGCAGATGCAGATGACGCTTCGCTCACTCGCCCACCCACCGCTCACCTCCTGCTGTGCGGCCCGTTCCTAACAGGACGGCACCGGTACCTGTCTGTGGCCTGGGGGGCTGGGGACCCTGCCCTAGGACACCGGATGCTCTGAGGCGATGATGCGCAGGTGGCTTTCTGCGGCCTCCCACCCGCAGTTCCTTCTGGAGTTTCCTCAAATGTAAACTTCTGACACTTTTTCTCTGCCATTTCCATTTATAGTCGTGACTCCCCGAAACCTCCCCACCCCCTCCTCGCGTGCTCCCTATTGCTCGCTCCGTCTCCCGCGCCATCCATTTAGCCGTTTGTTTCCGCCATTCCTTGTCCCCTCTCCTGAGAACACACCCTCTAGCGCGACAAGGATTTTGTCCGTCTGTTCAGGGTCGTGTCCCTAGCACCTGAAACCTGGCACATAGTAGGTCCACGGGAAACGGACGCTGAAAAATGAATGAAGGAATGAATGGATGAATGAATGAATCAGAGCTTGCAAATGAGCGGCCCTGAGGTCACACTTGGCCCGCACGCGTTTTTAAAATATCTCCTCAGTTACCAGCCTTGAAAAACGAGGACACACAGTTTTGCTCCCGGCCCGAACCCTAAAAGCCTTGCAGGTCCGTCCTGGTGTCTCGCGGGCCTCACAGACCAGGCGGAGGGTTTGGGGGCACGCTGGGCAGGGCAGGGCCGGCAGCTGGCCTTGGAGGTATGGAAAGCCAGCCCCTAAGGTGTCCGCCCCCTCGCAGGCCGCGGGCCCTGTCTGCTCTCTCCCCCGCTTCCCGACTCTCTCCGCCCGGCACAGCTAAGCGCCGGCGTCTACTTATTTATTTTGTTTCCAGTCTCTTAGTCTCTATTTGTGGGCGCTGTCCCCGGCGGGCAGTGCGCACAGGGGAAACCCTGCCCCGGCCGTCAGTGGCCGGCCTGCGTTCCTCCAGGGATGGGGCTGCAAGATCTCCCGGGAGCACCCCTGGGAGACGGCTCGGCCGATCCCTCCTCCGAGCAGACGACTGGCAGACAACCGCGGGGCCCCAGGGAGAACGAAATGGCCAGAGATGGTCTCACTACCTGCGGGGCAGCGTGTTGCCACGGCAACCACCGTGTGGGGCGGGCGGGGAGAAGATGTGCAGGTGTCGGCCTCTCAGGTGTCACACTTCCCGCCGCTGGGGACACTCATCGCCCGCCATCCACCCGGCCAGCGCACGCACGCGCGCGCGTCCACGCACGCGGAGGGGGACTTCCCTGGAGGCCCAACGTCCACTCGTTTTCTGTAACGGTTTAAAAGTATTCCCGGGATCCCTCCCCAGACGCGCGTGCTAAGCCCATGCGCTGCCGTCGGCCTTGACCTCCGCCCCGCAGGGGCCGGACCCACAGCTCATCGCACCGCCCCGGCCCCTGGCACGGGCCAGGAAGGTCCCACGGCTCAGCCCGGCCCGGCGACAGGAGGTCCCGGGGTCTTTGACTGGGCGGAGGGAGCATCTCGTCTCTGCGGGACTCAAACCTGGGAAGCTGGGGACTGGAGCCTCCAGGAGCCGCCACGTGAGAGGGAGAAAGAACAGCGGATCCGGGCGAGCAGCCCCCCCGCGCCTGCGGCCGCCCGGCCCGGCCCCTCACGCCACAGCGTCACCCCGCTCAGCCCGCCCCAGAGGCGCGCCCTCCACGGCCGCACCACCCCGGGAAAGACAAAGGGGTGGCTGCAGGGTGGGCGCCGGGGCGGCCTGGGACCAAATCCTCGCGGTGAGAGCGAAGTCGGGCAGACGTCTGGTATCTGGCGGGAGCCCTGTTCCCGGGCCCAGCTCTCCCCCGAGGCGGAGCAGATGGCTCCTCGGCTGGCGCCAGAGCAATGTGACTCGCGAACAAATGGTGTCATCTGACATGAAGGCTTTTCTCGGAGCAGTGTCCTCTGCGGCTTCGGAGAGGGGTCAGAACCACCTGCCCAGTCCCCGCCGGTCCCGGGCACCTAGCCCACCTGCCAGCCTCTCTCAGGGTCGAAGGCATGCACAGGTCTCACCAGGCGAAGGTTCCGGTTCCTACGGGACTTCCTGTGGCGCTCCAGTGTCCTACATGTGTGTCGTCCAATACGGTAGCCACGAGTGTGAACATCAGTGGCCACGCGCGGTAGGTGGCGGCCATGCTGGGCGGCACAGCGTCAGGCGGATCCGCACGTCTATCTGTGAGGGGAGCGGCAGCTTTCAAGTTCGTCCGAGCACCAGGAGCCTGAGACCTGCGGGCCGGTGACCGGGCAGACTGGGCTCGAACTCTGGCTCTGCCATTTATCGGCTGTGTGTCCTGGGGCAAGTCACTCAACCTCTCTGGACCTTGGCTTCCTGATTCGTAAAATGAACTTTGAATAGTATCCACCTCAGACTCGCCCAAGTGATCTCTTTAAAACCCAAATCAGAGTATCTGGCAGCGTCCCAGAATAAAATGATATTCCGACCCGTGGCTCCAAGGCTGCGGACAGCCATGGCCGGCTGCATGTGCTGACCTCGGCCTGGCCGACACTTGGGGCCGGGAACGCCCTTGTTATCAGGCACCCTGGGCGTCTAGGCTGGTTAGCAGCCCCCCGGGACCCCACCCACTAGGTGCCAGCAGCCCCTCTCCCCTGAGCTGGGGCAACCAGAAGCGTCTCCAAACACGGCCAAGCGTCCCCCGGGGCAGCGAGACAGGCTGCGTGAATGCCTCGCGCTTCGTGCTTTGCAGGTATAACTGTGGGGAACCAGCAACCACCCCACGACGCCCGCCGAACACGTGTGCCCCCACTTCCCGGATGAACGCGTGAGGCGAGAGGGAGACAGGGGCTGCGTGCGGTGGGCGAGCTCTCAGGCACGCACCGGAGCCGCGCGGGGGACCCGGTGCTGGAAGGGGAGCTCGGGCGAGGGTCTTCCTTGGCCGCAGTGCCACCCCTGGGCCCGGAAGGGGCGTGCAGGGCAGTGCCGCTCGGCCGGCCTGCGCCCAGGAGTCGCCGTGCTGTCCTCAACGTTCTGCCGTTCTCAGAACCAAATGGCTCCTGAGCATAGAGACGCCCCAGCCTTTCTTCTGGAGCCCCAGGCTTGAGAAGCGGGAACGGGGGGCTCTTCCCAGCTTGGGGGAGTCGGCCCACTTTCCTGCTGCGGGCGGGTGGGGTGGGTCGCCACCCACACGGTCCTCTCTCTCACCGATGCTTTAAAAGCCTGTGGCTGACCCTGCAGGCCTGAGCACTGCGGAGCCCAGAGCCTGTGGCATCGTAGAAGCGCTAGGGAGAGCTGCCGGCTGCCCGCGGCCAGAGCGCCGGCCTCGCCCGGCCGAGCATGCTCGCCGCGGAGGGGACCAACGCCGGCCCCTTGGGTGGGTGGCCCGGGAGGGCTGGGCTGCCGGTGGCCCCTCTGCGTTATTTTTAGCTCTGCACTGGGATCCGTTAGCTGGAACCGTGCCTGGGGGTCGGACAGGTGGCACTGGGAATTCAATAAATGGACTTTCTTTAGTGACGATTCAATCCCAGCATGCCCGCCCCCCGTGGCCTCGGGAGCGCCCACAGAAAGCACGTGCCAGGCTGTGGCCCAGGCAGACGTCACTCGGGAAGACAGGCGGGTGCCCGAGTGTCAGAGCACTGTGCAAACCGGGGTCACAGGCAATAGCAGGCACTGGCAGTCATGACGTCCCCTGCTCACTGGCCCAAATGTCCCCTCCTTAGAGCCACCCCCGAGTCGTGCATCCTCACGCGCTCACCGCCGCCCTTGGCCGCGTCCTCCCCCGTCCTCTGGGTCTGCCCGTGCCACCTTCACCCCGCTCTGCCAGCAGCTCGGGCCACGATCACTCCAAATCTGTTTCACGAGGCGATTTTTAGTCTGAATACATTTATTTCCCTAAAAACACCGATTATATTCCTGCACATACCCGCACCGGGCTCCACGTCGCACGCGTTTAGGAGCAGCTGCGGGAGGCCATGTGCGCGGCTGTGATGGGACCTGTGTCTGGGTTTTGCCGGCTGCTTCTCGCCCGCCTGGAGAAGTCGACGGTGCTGGAGGGCCTTTCACAGTGTCGGACTTATCAGAAGTCCTGGCTCATGGGGACACGGCAGATCAGTAGTGATAAAGGCCAGTGGCCGGCGAGCACTGGGTGTGGGTCCATGGCCGTGTGGGGGTGGGTGGGCTCCGGAGCCAAACCCAGCACCTCCCCCCTCCCCATCCTGGCCAAAGTCACATCGGACAGAAGAAAGTGGGGTGCTGTCCAGGCAAACAGAGCGCTGATTCTCAGTGGGGGTGATTCTTCCCATCGGGGGACATTTAGCAACATCTGGGGATACTTATGATTGTCACAACTCGGGGAGTCCTATAGGCTCCTAGTGGGTAGACGTCATAATGCTCCTAAACATCCCACAGTGCACGGGGCAGCCCGCATCTCACAGAATCATCTGGCACAAGGTATCTGCGGTGCCGACCCGGGGAAATCCTGCCTGTGCGTTTAGACCCTGCTGCCCGGCACAGCGGCCACTCACCGTGCGCGGCTGGGACCCCCGGCCGGGGCTGCAGCCAAGGGGTGCTCGGGGCGAAATGCACACTGTGTTCGAAAGGCTGAGTGACAAGCGTGGACTATCGCGTTAACAATTTTAATATTGATGACCTGTAGAACCGATTAATCGGTTAAACACGATACATTCTTTAAAAGAGATTCTCGTTTCTTTTTATTCTTTGAACGGTGACTACTAGGGAATTTAAAGTCCCACATGCACCTAGCGTTTTGGATGGCGCGGCTTAGCCCTTTGGCCCCCCGCCCCCTGCCCCCGCGGGCTTGGGGTCCTCTGTGGAGCACTGTGGGCTCAGGGCCACCAGGGGCCCATGGATCTCTTCCGGGCGAGTGAGGAGCGTCCCTCCCGACAGTCAGAGAATGGAGGGACTCGCCTGCCGTCGCTGGGACGCCTCAGCGCCACGTGCTGGAAGGCGGGCACGGTGACGCAGACCACGACAGTGTGACCCCGCGGTGGCCGCACCCGGTGCAGGGGACAGTGGGCCCCGCCGGGCTGCCGCGGGCCCGCGCTGGGCGTGGGGCGTGCAGACAGGGTCTCTCCACCCAGTCCTCCCTCTCTTCTACTCACTCGGGGCTTTAACACCCCAGAAAAGACGGGGTGCTATCCGTCAGACTCCATTAGAGGGGGAAAAAGACCATTATCTGGATGCTTTTTTGTGCAAAAGGTATGTATTTTGGACTTGCGAGCCACGTGGGCTCTGTCACGATGACTCAACTGTCCCGTTGTCACACAAATGCAGCCACAGACCGTACGGAAAGAGTCACGTCGTCGGCCTCCGATCAAACTTTACATGTCGGGCGGCGGGCTCAGTGTGACCCCCGGTTCACCGTTTGCCTTAAAGAACCGGGGTTCCAGCAGCTGCCACGTGGGCTCGACCCACACTGCAGATGTATTTAAGTTTTTAATTTCTTGCCCATTAAAAAAACCTTATAATTGGCTGCCGCCACTGTGAAAACGAGCTGATTTTTACATAAAATCGCCCAGCAGTGCGGTGTACACAAGCCGAACGGTCGAGCCTCTAATTTCCCCGGGCTTAACTCTCTTCACCCACGGGATGCTCAGGTGACGGTCCCATCGGCCCACTCCAGGGGGCTGACGGAGTCACTTACTTCGAGGACGTCCTCGTCCGCGGACCTGCATTCCACGGCCTCTGAGATGTCCGCCACGGCGCCCCTCTCCTCCACAGAGACCACCTTGACGGGCAAGGCGACCGTCTTGCCTGTGAGTATGGCGGTGTTCAGGATCTCGGTGTCCTGCGGGAGAAGCAGACGGGCCCGGGTCAGGGGAGCTGGTCGGCTGGGTCGGGGGACCTTCCTGGCGCACGCCCACCTGTCCTTGTTTGGACGAGACACCAGGGCGCTCACCTTAGGAACTCGGGTAAAAGGACCGGTCTTTGGAACAATTTCCCAAGAATGTTGAACAACTGACTTTCGGTTTATTTATAATCATCCTCCTGGGTTCTAACAACAATCAAGAGATATTTACCCTTTTTTCTCTCTATTGCAGACACCACGCAGAAGCTACACCTCAGTTCGCCTGTGGTCGTGGGTGACAAACTAATTCTGGCTGGTTTGAGCACGAAGCTTCTGTGGTTGGTGGGCTCCTGCACCTCCCCACCCAGACACCCACGAGCTAATCTCCGGGACCTGTGGATTGATGTCCTCACACTGTAAAAGGGACTTTGAGGTTGTGATTAAGTAAGTATCTTGAGATAAGAAGATTATGCTGGGTTATCTGGGGTGGGCCCAATGTAACCGTAAGCATTCTCAGAAGCAGCAGCCTGTGGGTCAGAGGAAAAGGAGGTGTGGTGACTGGTGACGCAGGCCGAGGTGGCAGTGAGGCCGCGTGAGCCGGAAGTGGCAGCCTCCAGAGGCTGGACGAGAACCCGATTTTCCCCAGAGCCCGAGGGAGGATGGGGCCGCTCCGAGTGACGCGTCTTCCAAGACCGAGTCCCACGGGAAGAAGGGAGGGGAGGGAACAGAGAGATTCCCACCAGGCACAGAGCAGCGACAGCCGACGTCCGTCCACCACGAGGCCCGCGAGGCAGGACTCGTCCCCAAATGCCCACAGTCATTGCGGTGGACACCAGGGAACTGTGGGCTTCGTTTTCTATGCAGACTTCTCAGCAAACCGCCCTGCCTTCCCCTGTGCTCACAGGAGGCCCCCATGGCAGGGAGGGGGCCTTCGTGGCTCCTCGCGGCTCCGTGCCCAGTGATCGGTACGGCACCCCTGCGCGTCGTGCTCGGAAAGCGATGGCCAGAGCACTTCTCTCGAGTCCGTGAGCGCGACCTGCGTGCACTTTTGAAACGGTTCTCTTTCTGGCCGGCTGAGGATGAAAGCGCGTCTGTGGCTTTGGGACATCTCTGGGCACCTTTTACCCAAGTCCGTCTCCAGAAGCACTGCCCCGCTTCGAAGCGGGAGATGCAACGGGAGAGATTTTCAAAGTCCTTTCTGCAGAGGAAGCAGCTGACTCAGAAACGACCTTTGGCATTGAACGACACAGCGTGGGAAGAGGCGTCTGTCATGAACGGAGAGCAGCCCGTCCGCGGCCGCCCGCCCGCCCGCACGCGTGCGCCCCCGGGGAGTCTTCTGCAGGGCTGCAGCGCGCACGCCGGCCATCACAGGTGCTAAGAATCCCCGCGGTCCCGTCTTGGGTTCATTACAGGTAATGTGCTCAGAGTTCCGTCTCCCCATTTCCTCCTCCGAATGGCCTTTGGCTAATGGCTTCATTAAGGCCCCGAACTCCCGCGTGGATCAACCGTGATTAGCTTTCAAGTGCTTGTCGCGATCTCTCTCTCTCCCTCCTTCCCTCCTTCCCTCCCTCCCTTTTTGGGTGGCCAGAACTCTCAATGCCTTCGGATCAGTATGAACTGCGGCTTCAGAACCACATCCAGGCTCTCTCTCTCTCACACACACACACACACACACACACACACACACACACACACACAGTCCTCTGCCAACACTTCCTACCCCTAAACTGAATTACTGTCATGATTCAGACTGGTTAGACACGAGGTGTTTTCTCCGACCCGAATCGGTTTTAGGAGCGGAGAACGAGCCGTCTCAGGAAGAGCAGATGGGCAAGGGAGGCCTCAGGCTCCAGGACAAACTGGCTGAGGCACGTGTTGGGACAGCCCTGTGTTTGAACATCACCGTCCCGATGCGCGGTTTTGGTGAGTGGTTGTCACCCGACTGGGGCCCTGGCTTCTGCTCCGTGCTTCGTCGTCGACTCTGTGACCCGGTCAGCATCTGTCCGCCGGTGGCATCTTCACCTCTGCATTTGACAGGTTAGGAGCTGGGCCACGCCTTCTCCCCGCGCTCGAATCTGAGCCATCCATGAAGAGTCGACAGCCGTTTAGTGAATACTTAGTCTGCACCCAGCATGTCCTTGTCACCGGTCACAAAGGAGTGACCCAGAAGGACAAGCCCCTGCTCAGATAGGCGGACAGGACGGCGGGGAGAAACCAGCGAGCAGGCAACCACCATGCTGGTCCAGCAGGACGATGTCATTAACTGGCGCCAAAAATCCAGCTCGAGTTGGTCTGAGCAAAGAGGGGACCGACCGCCTTGTCTGACCCGCACATCTGCGGACAGAGGCCTCAGCAGCAGCCGCGCCCACTACACCTGGCCTCGGACCCCGGCCTCCCGCGCCGGGAGAAAGCACGGTTCTGGCGTTTAAGCGGCCGTCTGTGCTGCTTTGCTCCGGTAACCGGACCGGACCGATGCAGGTTGTTAACACAGCCCGGGACGCTGAGCTGGGACGGGGGACAAGGGAGCGCCCTTATCGTGACCCGAGGAGGGGTCACTGGAACCGTGACGGAGGGGCAGGATCCACAGCGGGAGACAGCAGAGGAGCGTGACGTGTCTGCGGGAGGCCACACGGGACCTGGGGCGTGCGTCTGGGACTGGGGCGGGGGACACGGATGACACGGCGGGGGGCTGGGGCTGTCGCCGCACGGGAAGCCGTGGTGCATCGGAGAGGCCGGGGAGTAAAGAGGTCCCGCACCCCCTGACCCTGAGTCAGCACGTTCGGGGTGGACACATGTCCTGCTTTGCCCCAAGGCCGGGCGCAGCGGGGGGGTTACCGACAACAGCCAACACCGTGGGGCCAGGGAGGGCCGTGGGACCCAGGCGCGGTTGGCCCGCCAGCCACGTGTGACCACACAGATCCTCTGCCGTGTCCCCAGGACTCGGAGTGATGCGTCGGGTCGGCGGGGAGCTCCCTGGACAGTTAAATGTGCGTGCGCGTGTGTGGGGGGGCGTGAGTGTGCACGCGTGTGCACATGTGGGATTGACACCACAGACACCGTGAGCCGTGCCGGCCGCTGCTCCCGCATCCGGTAGTCGAGAAGAAGTGACCGCCGTGTGCCCCGCACACGATTTAAATGCATCGAGCTGCGCTGTGCGTGGAAGCTGACCGCGAGCCTGCAGGCCGGGAGGGACACGCGTGCGGGCGCAGGGGCCGGAGCTGCCGCCATCGCCACGTAGCTCCCTCTGCAGGAGGCCAGGCCGTACCTGCCCCCTCCAGCCCTGCTGAGCCATGAGCCGCTCAGCATGGCGGCGACAAGTCCCTGCGGCTCCCGTGGACACCAGGGCACGCCCGCCGCCTCCCCGCACACAACGGGGGCACGACTGGCGCCCAGGCTTTCTGTGGGGCTGTCGGCGTCTCTCTGCTTCGACTGTGTCTGCTCCGCCTCCGCCCCTCCCATCACAGACCAGAGGAAGCTCCGTTTTGCCGAAGAGAATCAATCGAGGGGCATCCTCAGGTCACCGTCAACGCCGATGTGAGCGAAGCCCCAGGCTTCTGAGAAAACACCCTGTTATTCGATTCGCCCTCATAAATGTAAATGTAAATTGGTTTTGACATTTTTCGTATCTTCTACAAATCGTATTTTTAAATTTTTAAATAAAGAAAACACAGAATTCCTTCTGGAGTGTTAAAAAGGCTGAAGGGTGACGACAAACTGAAGAAGGTGTCAGACCAACGGGACTGGCCAAGGGGACAGACGCCGATGCCAGGAGTGGTGGGGGCCCATGAGCGACACCCCGGACGAGGGTTCCCACGGCAAGAAGGGCCTGGAAATGTGCTCGGTGCCTGTGGTGGAACGTGGCTCAGCCACGGAAGGGAACGAGCTCGGACACACGCCGGCCGCACCGTGGGGGAGCCTCGAAACACTCTGACACACGCCGGCCCCACCGTGGGGGAGCCTCGAAACACGGCGCTGAGCGAGAGACCAGACCCATGTGACCGCGAAACACGGCGCAGAGCGAGAGACACCAGACCCATGTGACCGCGTCGGTATGAAATGCTCAGAACAGACGGACAAACGCAGAGACGGGCCGCAGGCCGGGGGCCGGGGGCTGGAGGCCGGGGGCGTGACAGCTTAGAGCGCGTGCGTTTTCCTTTGGGGGTGACGGAAGCGTTCTGGACTTAAACCGTGGAGATGAGGGCATGACCCTGTAAATACACGAAGAACCACTTAATTATAGACTTTAACTGGAGCATTTCGTGGCAGGCGAACGACATCTCAGCACATGAAGACAGGAGAGAGCAGGAGAGGCCGGTGGCACGGAAGGCCACAGGGGTGCTCAGGGCTGGCTCTGCCCCTCGCCTGGCTGCGTGGCCCCGGTCAAGCCAAGCAAGCCGTCCGCCACGGTCGACTCGGCCTGGAGAGATCTGCATCGCGAGACCTAGGGGCGTGTGGGGGGCCCGGAGGCTTTGCACCCACGAGAAGCATCGCCCTAAGCAGAGGGACCTGCGTGAGACAGGAAGGGACTTTGCGCCGAGGCTCTCTTTACCAGTGGGTCATCACCGGCAGCCTGTTTCCGGTTCCGGCGCACCTGGCTCCCCGCGCACTCTGTCCCTCGGAGGTGGACGTGACCCTTGAGTAATAAGGGACCCCGACAATTGGCCTTTCTGGGCTTCTGGGGGTCAGAGACCGTTACGAAATGACTACTTCCAAAGGCAAAGTAGATGAGTAGGAAGACGACCCTTTCTTCCCCCATCTCGGCTGGAGCTCAGCAGGTGGGAAGAACATGCCACGGGGCTGGAGGATGCTTGAGACAGCCGGACGGGCCCCTGGCTCGTGTGTGGCAGGCTCTGTGAAGGCCGAGGGTCCCACTCTGGAAATCGGGAAGAGGGGCCCGCTGCCCGGTGTGCCCACCTGGCCGCCTGCATCCTGCTGGCTGGCCCGAGCCTTCTCTGTGCTCGGTTTTCCTCTTCTGTGAAGCGGGATGATCCCACGTCCCT